GTTTGGCGCCGCCGGGGTGAGCCGGGGTGCGGGGAAGCCGCGGGCCCGGGCGGGGGGGCGAGGGCGAGCCGAATGCGGCCCCCGCAGTTTCTCCATGCAAATCTGGGCGCGCCGCGGGCCCGCTCAGCAAGGTGCTGGCGTGGCCCAGGTGGAGCCACACCAGCCCCTGTTACAAACAGGAATAATTCCCGCCTCACGGTGCGTTTCTTTCTTCTTCCCCCCCTCAGGAGAAGCAGCAATGTAATCCGCTAACTGCCAGCGTTGTGCCCTGATGCCGTCGTGAAAAGCGCGCTGCTCAGTGAGGCACTGAGCGACAGCTTCCTCGACAGTCAGCATCGGCTTTGTTCAGAGCGTCATCTCAGCTCCAGTTTCTGTCGCTGCCCAAAGCCTAGCGCTTCTCCCTGCGACAAGGCTCCTTTGTACAGTATTTGGTAGCCTTCTTGTGGGCTCTGAGGGCAAGACGTGACCTGTGTAAAAATGTTGCGATATTGGGGTGAGATTCCGGTGTCATCTAACCAGGCCAACCGCAGCTCCTTTGACCTGCTTCAGCGTGAGTTTAGGACTGTGGAAGTCCAAGATCCTCCATTGCACCAGCCATCTGCAAACAAACCCCGGCCGACCACCATGCTGGACATCCCCTCGGAGCCCTGCAGCCTCACAATTCACACCATTCAGCTCATCCAGCACAACAGACGCCTGCGCAGCCTGATCGCCATGGCTCAGGCTCAAAACCAGCAGCAAGCAGAGGGCATAAAAACTGAAGATAACGAACCTCTACCATCTTGTCCGGCCTCTCCGCCTCTCCCTGATGACCTGCTTCCTCTGGATAGCAAAACCCCCAAAATGCCATTTCAGCTGAGGCACAGTGACCCAGAGAGTGATTTCTACAGGTTTGTTGATATTTCTTTGAGTTTCCTTCTTCGGCTGAAGGAAAGCTGCGTGCTTTTGCTTCCTGTCTATGAAACGTGGATGTGTAGTCCTGATTTCTGTCTTGTGGGTCCACACTAAATGTTTGTGAATGGTTTTGCTATCTTCAGTGGCATTTTGACAAGTTTAGTTGTAGGATGTGAAGTCTCTTCTATTTAGGTCACTTGCAACTAAGCTTGCTTTATAACTGAAAATGCAGAAGATGTATGGCTAGGTTTTCGCGGTTTAGTTGTAGGTTCTGAAAAGATGGTTTGATAACATATTTGTAAGATTTCAGTGGCTAAGGACCTGTGACGTAGCAACTATCACATTTCACCTTGTTTCTCGGTGTTATTCTGGTCAGAGGTGGTAATGAGTACGGGTGAAGGGAATTCTTGTCTCTGATACTGGCTCCACCAGCCAAGAGCTGGAGAAAATGTAAAGGAAGGTTGCATTGCTTCTACTTCTGCAGCCAATCTTTGATTAAATAGTATTGCCACCTCTTCCCTGTCTACCCCTCTGACAAGCACTAAATTCACAAGGAGGTGTTGCATTTCTTGCAGGATCTCATGATACTTTGTGGGTTATGTGTGTTTAAATTCAGGGATTAATCCTCACTGCTCTAACCTTCTGTTCGTAAAGACTGTGCACCAATGAATGTGATGTGGGAGATGATAATTCATTTTTTTTAAATGGGGAAAATGTGCATCAACGACATAAAATTTAACAGTTAAATGCCACCGAGATCTTTAATAGCCTTAGGCTGTATAAAAGACATTTTATAGAAAAATGTTGCTTTTGTCAACAGTCTATCTGAACAGTAGAGTGATTCTTAGTGCTGTTTGTGGAGACACACCATCATTCTTCTCAGAATAAATAATTAGCCAAGAGATGTGAAGGGAAAGGCAGTCCTGTGAGAATAAAGTCTGAGCCCTGTGACTCCTGCTCTTTCTGGCCCTTTGCTTTCAAGGACTGAGCAGTGTTCTGCTGTCCTCCTCGGTGGCTTCACCTGTAAGTTCAGTTTTCTGTGGCTCTGTCCATGTTTTGGGGGCTGCCTTGTCTTTTTGTGGTCCCTTGCGAGTTTCTGGGGTCCAAGTAAAGAAATGTTATTTTCGCAGTCAACCACATGGGGGAGTTTAAGGACTAGATAGTAAAAATTGCATATTCAATTTTGAAATTAAATGTTTTGTGGCTGACAGAGAGTGCATTTATAATGAGCTGCAGTGAGACTCTAATTTAATTGTGTGCTTGCTAAACCAAACACATTTATACTTTTCCAGGAGGAAAGCTTTGAGTTTGTTGATGCATGTTTGTTAACTGTTTTAAGACACTTGAATTAAGAATAGCAGGTGCTGTTACAGTAGTAAAAATAAAGTTATATGATTTGCTGATGCTTATCTTAGTGTGTAAAAACAAATTAAAGAAAGACCATTCTTTCTCTTGATAAAACATGGTAGTGCTTAATTTTGTGCTGCTTTCTGAAGTGCCATTGCCAGAACTACAGTATTCGACTAAATCCATATTTTAATTTCATTTTCTGTGGCGGTAACCTGGGTCTGAGAAGCAGTGTATAGGTATATGTAGACATAGGAAGAAATGAAGATAATAGTGACCAGCCTGAATCAGACCACAAGTTTCTTTAACATAGATATGTCACCTTCTGTTTTCCTTGTTAATTAATTTTCATCCTCTGACTCCACACCCTTGTCTTTTATTTTGTTATCGGCTGGATTAATTTTGTTTTTCCACCCCTCTGTCTGCCCCACCCTGTGCCTGTAACCCCTGCCGCCTTCTTCCTTTTGAGATGAGGAAGAGGCAGAACCTAATTTACTGCTATTTTTCAATTGTTTTGGTCATTTCAACCCCCCAAAATCTGTATCACAAGCAGTTTTAATCATGATGCTATTACTCTCCTCCATTTTTCCTGACTGTTTATAAATACATTGAAACAAAACTTGATTCTGGCACAGATCCCCGAGGGAAGACCTGGGCTCCACAGTGGAGATCTCTTACATACTTGTTTGTTGATGGATTTGGAGGACTCTGGTAGGTTTGTGAAGCAGGTTTTCCCTTTACAAAAGCTGTCTGGACTCTTTCTGAGTGTAACATGCTTACCCATGTGTCCTCTAATTTTGTTCTTTTCATTTCTTTGAATTTCCCTGATGCACCAGAATATATCAGGCTTTTCAGCCCGCAGTTCTTCACATCTCTTCTGAAGCTATTAAAAGAAATATTTTCACGTCTTCTGCTTTCTGGTCCTCATGGGTCAAGGCAGTTTAAAGCAAGAGGAGACTCACTACAACTATTCAGCTATTTCATGCTTTTATTCCTTTAGTATTCCTGGATGAATTACCGTTTGGTCTTGGTGATTTGCAACTGTTGATGTTACAGTTCTTGAAATACACAATAAGGGATTAACATTTGATTTCGGTTGGTACAGGAACAGAATGTAATCTTAAAGCATAATCAGTGAAGAATGAGTAAGGAACTATAGTCTTGAAACTACCATTTGAACTGGAGGGTCTTATCATAATAAGGCTATTACTTTTCCTTCTGTGTGCAGCTTCTTCCGATTAGCATGGATCCATCTTCAAAAGGAACCTAACCTACTCATTATGTGCCTCTTTGGATGCTTTTTCTTGTGTGTGCATGGTTGGTTTCTTAACAGATTTCTCTGCCATTCTCTCATTTGCGTTCCTGACCACATCAAATGTGTGCTTTGCATTGAAAAATAATCTGTGAATGAAACTGCTTGCCATGGGAAGACAGTTCATGGCAGAAGGGCTTGTGGTTAAGAAATGCCTGTACAGAAGTAGGGAAGCACATGTCGGTGGGATAGCTGGTTTAATGTTGGGAAGGATTTGGAGCGGTGTAAATTAGACCAGGCAGAATGTACCTCCCTTGCTGGAATAAGCACTCTGGTTTAGCCCTAAACTGTCTGGTCTTCTGGGTTGGGCCACTGGGACCCAATTTATTTTCCAAATATTGTGTGCTACCTTTTGCCATTATGTATCGAGCAGCTTCTTTTTATGTGTGTGCAACCTTCTGTAGACATAGCAGAGACATTTAAAAAGAGTCTTACTAAGGATGAGGTGGAAAGAAGCCCTTTTTCAAAAGGAAACAACTTTCTCGTTTGAGTTAAGTATGCCGTGTTCTTTGAAGCACTCTCTGACTAGTATAATCTTGTTTTTCTAATATTCTCCTTTATTTTATTGTTGTGGGGAAAATGGCTCTGAAGTGACCTTGTTGCACCTCATTTGGTATAAATTCAACTCCACAGTGTAATGTTTCATAAATTTGATGTGTTCATAGGAAAAACAATCCCTCCTCCCTCCATCTGCTGCTAGCTTATGCTCACCTAGGAGGGAGCAGAGCGCTTCAATCTGTTGCTGCAGTTGAGTGAACCTCGGCTGTCGATCCTTGTCCTGACTTAGCCCAAACACTTTCCCCTGAAGATAGCTGCATGGGAAATGAACCATGAGATCTCCTTCCCTCTTAAAAAAACCCCAGCCTTCCAGGAGAGGAGCTTGGGTGAATGGATTGTGGTGCCTTTGCGGGATAGCTTGTTAACTACCTGACACAGAAAATGGGCCTTTTGCCAGTTCTGAAACCTTATTAATGCTGAAAATAAGTCTGCATGGTATAAATGGACACTTTTTTCATGTGTTCTGTTGTGAAGTTTTGCATGTTACAGATTTGCTGGTAGCAGTGGTAGAAGGCTGGGTTTTGGGTCTGATGAATTCATGGCTTGGCAGGTAGATTTCTATCTGGAACATCATCTAGTGTTTGTTGCCCATATGTGAAAATACAGAACCACTGGAAATACAAAACTGAAGAGTAACAAGTTGGCCAGTATTTGTGATATTCACACTATGTATTCTGTAGATGTGATCACCTCCAAGTCACAGGCCTAATTGCCAGTTTTGTTAATCTCTTTAGGGATTAAAGCGCTCTTGTTTACTTGCAGCTATGTGACCCTGGTAATATGTTAAGTAGGTTTGGCTTTAGATTGTTGCTGAATGGGGAGCCTTTTGGGAAAGCCGTAAGTGCTAAACAGAGTGGCATTTTTCATAATGATAGTACCTGGAAGGGTACTTTTGTAGGTGCTGAGTATCTGGATGAGATCTAAGACCAAGGCTCTTTAGCTGATCATGAGGGAAAAGAAGTCTGCTGGTCCTTTTTGGGAAGGCTTGACATTCAGTAGCAGCTCTTAAATGTGTCTCTATGGCTGGTTTTGGTTTTGTGCATTCTTATAAGACACTACCTAAAAGTTAAAGGAGATGAAGGAAAAAGTGTTTTCTCATTTATTGGTTTCTATTAACATCTACAACAATATTTCATATTTTGCTGTCTAATCAGACTTTTAATCATCTTCCTCTATTGTTTATGGTGGGAAACAATAAAACAAGAGAAGAAAACATAAGAAAAACCAAAATTGATTTATTTTACCAAGAACAAGAGCTGGGGATTTGATTTGAGTACAGTACCTGCAGTCTCTCTCTGTCTTTAACTGATTAGATTTCAAGTTGATTATTTCCCTTTCAGCATAGTGACCTAGGTGCATTTTAATGTTGGCAATTAGTTTCTTTTCCTCTGGGAGTTTAAAAGAGATACAGACATTCTCTGCTGCTTCTGAGGAGTGATATGCACTGCTGAACATGTGCTCTACTTTACAAGTGGCTGAGTATTCTGCTTGGGCTTGCCAAAATCTATCTGGTTTAAGTTTGCCCACAGTGTTTTGCATGAATGTCAGAGTGTCAATAATGGCTCTTTATTTGTCTCTATTAATAGTAGCTTGGTGTTCAGTGGTTTTGGTAGCATAAGATGCTCTCAACTGTTGGTTGCTGGGCAGCTAGATATGTCGTTTATATGTACTGAAAAAGGAGAGATTCTTTTTTCTAGGCATAAATTTAGATGGTTGTTTTGTGGTTGGTTGTAACCTCCTAGTCCCAGTGTTGTGTGAGACATATGGCTGTTCGAACTTCAGAAATCTGTCACTGGGAGGTGGAGGGAGGGATGAGGGAGATGTAAAACCAGTATGGGGGACACTTGGTTTATAAGGGAACTGATGAACTTTTAATTCATCTTGTCAGAGCACCTGCTGTCTTCTCTACAAAGTAGTTATATAATTGAGTTGGAATTAGGATGTAAGTCATTTTCTAGCAATTAATAACTGGGATGAATCCATGACCTGGGATCCACATGCTGTTCTTAATATCCACTTAGAAATCTCATCATCCACAGCTCTTAATATAGTCTGATCCCCTCCTTTTTTTGAATAATCAGAAAATGCTGAGCTAGTGTTCTTGAAAATGAAGGATTTTGGTCCTGACAGTTCTGAGTTTAACCTTCCATTTTCTCTCCCCTGAAATGTTATCTGCTTTTACTGCCGTGTTTTGGTGGTTTTCTATGGGTCAGTTCTGAGATCAGGGGGTGCTGAGGCTCTGTGACCCAACATCTTGGCAAGACTGAAGGGTACCTAATGCACTTGGTGGAGACACAAGGGTAGTGAGAATTTATCAAGGCATCAATGCTGTCTGTGTACTGTTTAATGAGGTCTTGCTACTGGAAAGAGTGTGTGGTGTTACGCAAGTAATGTAGGGTGACAGTGAGGTGAATCTCAGGGTGGGCTGCAGGTGTTGGGAAGAACTGATCAGAAACAAACGAAGGGTGAAATTGTTAGCTTAATTCTGCCATTGATGCTGAATGATGTGTAAAAAAGTATATAAATACCATATTTAGCAGAAAGGAAATTGGATTTTTCGACATCAGCATTTGAAGACCATGTTACAGATATGGGCAAACACATTGCATACATTTAATTGTAAGAAATATGTTTACCTTTCAGAGGCCTTTCCTTATCTCATCTTTTTCTATATGGAATTTCTATTTGTTAACTCATCTCGATGAAAAATTCAGTTGCCTGACTGTAAATAAATGATGTCTGAAGTGTTCATGTCAGTTGTTCACCATCTTCTCCATCCTGGGTGGTCACTTCTTCCTGCTTAGCAACACCGAGAAGAGAGGTCTCAAACCCAAGGCTGGGGAATGCTGTTCTACAGCAGAACCTCTCCAGGCCCGGTGTTTACTTCTTAGGTTGCATACAGGGGTAATTCTTTCAGTGTCGTCCTGAGTGACTACTGGAAACGAGGATGGGGGATTGGTCTTTGTGGCTACGGTGTACCTTTATGAAATGTATGTAAATCTTGTTTCTTGCTTTTTATGTGTGTCTTTGGCATTATAAATTCAGATCTTGTCTATTCCAGAAGCCTTTGTATCTGACTATTAGGCCTGTGACATCAGAGATAATGAGGAAGAGAAATGTAATTAACTGAGAGGGGAAATGATTTGCATTCGTGTTATTTAAAATGCCTTTTTTTGTTTGTGTCAAGGACCCATTTAATTCACATCTCCAAAAGAAAAACTCTTGGGTGGGGAGGGATTTGCTTAAGCGTTCAGAAAATTTGCAGTCCCACATTCATGCATCACCCAAAGAATCTTCTGGCATTAGAAGGGAAAATTAGAACTGGCATGCTGATTTGGAGGCATGGGAAGAAGGGAAAGCAGATAAACCCTTACTAGGCAGTGTTCATATGTAATGAAGAAGCTGTGGAGAACCCCAAACAATCTGCTTTCCCTTTGTACATCACCTTATTGTTGTCAGTATCTCTTCAACTGATACATTCCTTTCAGGTTTTGGAGGTGTGCAATTTTTGTATTTTCTGTTTTTTAGAGGAAAAGGGGAGCCAGTGACTGAGCTGAGTTGGTCTTCCTGCCGGCAGCTTCTCTACCAGTCAATGGCCACCATCCTGGCTCACACAGGCTTTGAGTGTGCCAATGAGAGTGTCCTGGAGACCCTGACAGACATTGCCCACGAGTACTGCTTGAAGTTCACCAAACTGCTGCGCTTTGCTGTGGATCGAGAAGCTCGACTTGGGCACACCCCTTTCCCTGATGTCATGGAGCAGGTCTTCCATGAAGTGGGCATTGGCAGTGTGCTCTCACTGCAGAAGTTCTGGCAACACCGCATTAAGGATTATCACAGCTACATGCTTCAGGTGAGAACAGTAGGGAACTGATGACACCAATAAATGTACCCCCAGTACAATTACTTATTCCTGTAGCAAGTCCTGGGTCTTACTGAAGTAAAATCTAATTAAAAGATCTCTTTGGCGTGGAGTGGAGTCAAAAGAAGGGAGGGGAAAAAGAGAAAGAGGATTTTTTTGACTGGAAGACAGAGCCCGTTATTTGTGTCCCTACTGAGGCTAAGAATGTTCTACTGATGGTTTGTGTGGGTTTAAGAGGAGGCCTCCAGGTCTTGAATGGCCTGGACAAAAATATCGAGTAGAGGTAAAATCAGTACTGACTGATTAACTGAATTTTCTGTATTAATGGGTTATTTGACTGCTTACCATTTCACAAAACAAGCAGATGAACAAAAAAGCAGATTATCCCTTCCTCCTTGTTAGGTTATCAGGGTGCCAGTTGACTCTTCTTGGAGCAGCTGCCTTATGCTCCTTCTTTTCCCAGGGGTTGGCACCTTGTGGCTTACAGAGGCAGTATAAATCAGAAACACCTGTAAGCATGTGTAGTGTGTAAATTGTGATGGACTCTGAGGATTGTGCATAAGAATAACATCATCAAGATATGACTTCATTAAAAACATTTTTGTTCAAAAAAACAGTTCATTTTTTTTCAGATGTGTTTGTTCAGATGTCTCCTTTTGGAATTTGGGTATCCTACATTGTTTGGTTGATGCAGTTCGCTTTCATCCTGCAGCTGGTCATTGTCTTACTTTGTTCTGTTCTTAGTGCAAGACTGAGGTCCACATTAGTATTTGGAAGTATATCTAGAAGGGGCTTTGCTATTCTTTTTCATTCTTCCTTCTTCTGTTAAAAAGCCTTGGACTTTTTCTGAGCACAGTTCACTGATCATTTGGGTTCAGTGATATAAACAAGCATTTATTAGAAGCAGACGAAATCTGAAATTTTTGATTTAATTGGTTACCGTTTTTAAGTTTCTAGAAGTACAGAGTAGTTCTAAATATCATTCCTGTATTTATTTCACTTCTCTGACTTGAGAAAACTTAGATGGTTTTTTGCTGTGAATCTGACAGAAGGTACCCAGGCTTTGCCCAGTGACTACAGAGCTGATGAATATCTGAGCTGCTTGTTTTTTAATGCTGGAGTAAATTTGTTACTGGCAGATGGTGGATAGTCTTATAGGTAAAACCAAACAGTAAGGCTGAGACACTTTGCTTTTGTTTTGTGCTCTGTTTAAATTTCTGTGCCCCATCACCACTGTCTGTGAAATAAAGGTGCTCATATTTATCAAGCAGATGTGTTAATGGATTAAACCTCTTATTAAAAAGTCCCTTGTTACAGGACAGAAGGTGTTCTTAAAGGGGGGGAAAAAAAAATCTTTCCTTTGTAGCTGATAACCTGTTTACTTGTTCATGCAGGTCAGATGTTAATAATATTCTGTGAACAGAGTGCACTGCAGTGTAATTGCCATCAGGGCCTCTGAAGTCACTCTGACCTTTCTGGCCTCTTTTTCACCCCCACTGATCTTTGACAGGTTAGCAAGCAGCTCTCTGAAGAGTACGAGAAGATTGTCAACCCTGAAAAGGCAGCAGAAGACACAAAGCCTGTGAAGATTAAGGAGGAACCTGTTAGTGATATTACTTTCCCCATAAGTGAGGAGCTGGAAGGAGATCTGGCTTCTGGTGACCAGTCTTTGCCCGTTGGAGTCCTTGGAGCTCAAAGCGAGCGCTTCTCTGCCAACTTGGAAGTAGAAGCTTCCCCACAGACTTCAGGTAGGGGTTTCTTGCTACTGCTGGAAACAGTCTATCAGCTGTTCTGTGTGATCTTGTTTCCATTTTTAAAAGCAGATCCCAATGTGAGGAAGGAGAAGGAGAAAAAGTCTTTAGGTTTTAATAAAAATATTTGGATGGGAGAGAAACCCTTGCTTTCTTTCTAAATACAAAACCAGAGAATCAAAGGTATCAATTAAGAGCATTTGTTAAATCCATTTGTGGACCCTGTAGAACACAAAGTGCTTTATATGGTGTTTATTTTTAGCAGATTGTTAAAGTTCTGGGCTGTCATTGGTGTGAGGTAGATTGCTTTTCTACATGATGGCCCAAGGGCTTTATTGTTGATTTGTGAACTAGGGTATTTGCTGCAAATGTGAGTAGTGTTTTTTGTTTTTTTTTTCCAGTCTGATGTAACAAAGACAAAAATAACTTTTGGGTTTATATATATGTATATATTTTAGTTTAAAAGAGACCAGAGTTTTGTCCTTATTTCTAGTAAGGAGACTACTGGATTATTTTTTTTTTCCTTTATTTTTCTGGGTAGTTTCGGATTCTTGTCCAGAGATTCCTGTTACTGAAAAGTTCCTTGTGACTGGAGTAAATTCAAGACCCTACATAGTTTAGGCACTGAGTTACAGAAATACTGATGGTATTTGGTGCAGTCCTCCATATTCAGAAGTCACCCTGGTAGTGACAGTTGTTGTTTTATGAAAGCTTATCAGTGACTTATGTGAAATGGGCTTGTGGGAGTCTCCTATTCTAGCATCTCTACTCCAAAGCTTGCTGTAGTAAGCTGAGGCCATGGAAAGTGAAACGGTGGGTGAAGTACTGGGGTTATGGAGTAACCCCACTCTTTTCCTCAGAGTCATCCCTTGATGTTAGTGTTGAAGCACACTCGTGGCCAGCATGGGAGGGTCTGCTACTGCTGTGCCTTTTCTGTATCTATATACAAGTTTTATTCTATGCACCATGTAGTAGTGCTGAATTTTCTGGAAAATTAAGAAGACATTCTTCTACCAAAGAAAGCCAGTTTTGATTTTTGTACACAACCTTCTGAACTCTGGAAAACCCTGCAATAACAACTGTTTCACTTAACAATATGGTTAAAAAACAATGAAGCCTGTTCTCCTATCAGCCCTAAACTAAGTAGCATATGTAGTGAGGTTAGAGTATACCTCTGAGTCCTTTAGTTTTGGGGTTTTTTTTAAATAGCACATTCTGCTGAGTTTTAAAAAAGCACAAATCCATCTGATGTTTTTCTGGAAACTCATGTTGTTTTCCTTAGTATCTCTGAAATCTGAAGTACTCGCATTTTTGTGGGAGAGGCAACAGGCAGACTCCTCTGGCCCATCTGGGGTTGCAAGTGATTCATCTGGAAAGCTTTGTATTAGCATCTACCACTTGAGACCCAGAGGTTAGCGTGCTAGCTGTATATTAAACGCCTCTTGCCTCTCTGATACCGAATTGATGTTTTCTAATTAAGAATACAAGTGCTCTGTTCCTCCCTGAAAATCCCTCTTCACTTCACAAGAGCCTTTGAAAATCTCATCACTGTGAGAACTCCCAGTCTAGAGCTGGGCAGGCTGGAGAGCATAATATCATAAGGAGAGAGAAAAAGCTACTGCAATTAGGACACCACCATCTTGAAAATACAAGTGGGAGGTCTGTAGAGAGGGCAGCAAGGCTTCAGTATCTGAAGGCAAAACTCTTGTTTCAGCCTTCCATGTTGTTCTTGTGTTTCTGTTTATGCCTGCCGTTGTGGTTGTGGGCTAGCTGCCTAATATCACTGCAGTTGGGGAAATGGAGGCAAAATTGGGGACCTTGTTCCTCTGCCCAGCAGGGTAACATGAGGATTAGCTCATTTGTAAAGTACTTTGAAGTTAGAGTGCTTTGAAGATGAAACGTCCTGTGTGGATGCTTAAGTACTGTTAGTCATTAGTGACACTCTCAATGACAGGTGATAGAGCTGAAAGGAATAAGTCTGAGCAATGAAGAGCAATTGATGAAAGACACAGTAAGTTTAGTGAGCATCTTTGATTATTGTGTAGACTGAAGCGACAATTCTGTGGATCTGATAGCATTTTAATGATGTGTCCATTGTTGTTGAGAGGAACACATTTACTTATAAATAACATAAAAAGAACATTTCATTAAGGCAGCTGGACTCCAGCAAGCACTTCCATTTTGGCTTGCTGTCTAACTGCTGAACTAATGTAGGCTGTGTTACCACAGAGGTCTCCTAAAGACTGTTTTGGGCTAAGCTGCTCTGGAAAAGATTTCTGACCCCTTCATAAGGGAGAATTCTCAGTACAAATATGTAGTGAAAGATATGTTTTCAGTGTAATTGCTAGTAATAAGGGACTATTGTTAGTAGGGTATTGTTAATAGGGAATAGTAGTAAGTTTGGCTCAGTACAAGAGGGTTGGTTGAGCTTTCAAACTGTGGGCAAGCTTCATGAGACACAGGGTTTGGAAAACTTACTAAAACTATTTTCATGGGTTTGTTTTTAATTTTTTCCATGTGAATTTAACCCCACACAAGAGGGACCAGATTTAAAATTGAGAAGATTTCAGGCTTTGTTCAGTTCTGGGCTGTTTATGCCCAACTCAGCAAGGGGCCCAATTAGTATATTTTTTAATAGGATTTTTGTCTCTCTTAAAACTGTAAATAAGCAGAAATAATGCAATCTGTAATTACAGCTTTTGGGGAGGAAAACATTTGCTGTTATCAAGAAATATGTTTTCATACTCTTGTACAGAAAATCCTCAATGTGCTCAGATTGCATACTAGTCCAAAAGCTTGGGGGGGGGAGCAGGCAGGGAGGAGCTATTTCCCAGCAGAGTGTCTGTGAGGTTAAGCCAAGAGGATTTCTTTCTGTTCTGTTGAATGATGGGATGAGACCTGTGGGTGTTGATTACAAGGAGGCAGGCAGGCAGTTGGGTGGCTGACTGCAGCTCTGATTTCTCTGAGTTTCAGTGCTGGAAGTAGTATTTGAGACTGTTCATCTACCCACTCCTCTGCCCTCTCACTTCACCTCCTCTGCAGAAGTCCAGTCTGTCTGACAGCTTAAAGAAAGTTGCTGATGTTGCAAGGATCTCATCATCATGAATGACTTCTGGACTGCTTATTCAGGGTCTAGTCCATATGCTGTTGGTGTGCTCACTGCTGCTGAGAGGCTCCTGGAGAGTGATGTGGGCTCTTTAAGTTGTTTCTCATGGAGACAACCACATGGAGGATTTCTGTGAAAGGATAGCATTGTATTTTTTGGAGCGGCAGTTACTGGGCTATTAAAAAAATTAAGCCAATAGATTATTTATTGTTTCACAGTGCTTGGTGTGTTTTCTTTGTTTTTCCCCCAGCCTAGCTCACCTGTAGCTTTGCTTTTACTCCTTCTTTATCAGTGCTGCAGTCCCTTGCATCTGCATGCCATTTATGATTTGGTTTTTTTGCTCAGTTACTACTGTGTGCTTTTTCTTTGTCTAGGCGCTGAGGTGAATGCTTCCCCACTCTGGAACTTGGCACAGGTAAAAATGGAGCCACAGGAAAACGAGGAGGCTAATGTACATGGCCACGGGGTCCTAGGCAGCGATGTCTTTGAGGAACCGATGTCAGGCATGAGTGAAGCTGGGATGCCACAGAGCCCCAATGGTTCTGAAAGCAGCTATGGTTCTCATTCTGCTGACAGTCTGATGGGATCCTCACCTGTCTTCAACCAGCGTTGCAAGAAAAAGATGAAGAAAATGTGAAAAGAGGCAGTCTTTTTATTTAATTCTGATGGTATGTAATAGACTTGAAACGAACTAAGAGAGCACTATGATGGCTATGATTCATAAACAGGGCTGGCCCTGGTGTATGAGGGAACTTGCATAAAATTACTATGAGACATTTGGTGTATAGTGCACTTCAGCTGCTGGCAGTCTTTGCTGGCTTCTGGACTCATCCTGACTCAGGAGATTGAAGATCACCCTATACATTTGATTGTATCATGGCTTGCTTTGGCAGATTAATGAGGAAGTTAACAGTGGAAATAAGTTGTGAGGAGATTTGCTAAGTCATAGAATCATTTAATAATTTGGGTTGAAGGGACATCTTGAGTTTTCTAGCCTCTAGTCCAGCCCCCTGCTTGAAGCACAGCCTATTAGTTCAGATTGCTCAGGGCCTTGTCCACTTGAGTTTTGAATATCTCCAAGGATGGTGATGCCAAACCTCTTTGGGAATTTTCCCATATTTGACTACCCTCATAGTAAGAAAAAATATATTCTTGCATCCAGTTGGAATTTCCCGTGTTCCAGCTTGTGTTCATTGCCTCTGTTCTATCATTCTTCATCTCCAAAAAGAGTCTGACTATGTCTTCTCTAACTCACCCATTAAATGGTTGCATACAATGAGATCTCTCTTTAGGCTTTTCTCTTCTTAGGTCTGAAGAAACCAAGCTCCCTCAGCCTTTCCTTGTACTTCCTGTGCTCTAGCCCCCTAAGCTTTGTGGCCTTCCACTGAAATTGTTGCAATGCCCTTCTTGTAAGGGTGAGCACAAAAGCAGATGCAATCCTCTGGATACAGTCTCACAAGTGCTGAATAGGGATAAATAATAATTTCCCTCAATGTGCTGGCTGCTAACTGTTGTAGGCTAACCATTGTAGGCAACAAGACAGTCTTAAGTCACTGGTTGGGGAGCTGTTGCTGCTGCTGACCTTGCACAGGTGCTATGGAGTGGCGTACAGCACCATCAGCCACCTCCTTCAGTGCCTTCAGATGCATCCTGTCTGGTTTCACGGACTTAGGTATGTCCAGTTGCCTTACCTTCCTCTACTGTAGGTAACACTCTGCTAGTAGACCCAGGGACCTGACAGGCCTGAAGGCAGACCTTACCAGTGAAGACAGGCAAATAAGGTGTTAGGTACATCAGCCTCAAAGTACAAAGTGCATCCTTTGTCACCAGGTTGCCTGTATCGTTGAACAGTAAACCCATGTTTTCTTTAACCTGTATTTTACTCCCAGTGCGCTTAAAAAAGCCTTTCACATTACTTACCAGTTTCAACTCCAGCTGAGCTTTGGCTTTCCTAACTGTCCCTGCATGCTTGGGCTGTGTCTCTATATCCCTGCTGGCCAGCCCATGCTCACTTCCACTTCTCTGTACTTTTCTCTGTTTGAGCTCAGTTAGGAGTTCCTTGATTGTCTGTGTGGGCCTTCTGTCATGCCTGCTTTACTTTCTGCTCATCAGAAAGGACTGTTCTTCTTCTTTGAGAAAGCTATCTTTGAAGATAAGGCAGCACTCCTGGGCCCCTTTGGGAGGGCAGGGCAATCCCTCATGAGATCCTGCCAAGGCGTTCCTTGAATAAATTGAAGGGTGTTGTCCTAAAGTTCCAGGACTCTGTCTCGTGCACATTTCTCAGGATTTTAAATGCTACAATTCCATTTCGGCTGCTGCCGAGACCTTCACATTCTGCACCAATTCTTCCTTGTTAGTAACAAGTCCAGCAGAGCTCCTTCTCTAGTTGATTTCTTGATTATCTAGTCAGGGAAGTTGATGTGGTTTTCTGGAGAGAATGAAGCAGCTTTTACTACTGATGTGAGCCAGTACAGGCAATGCAAACTTCTCCTTTGCTCTTATTGGATTGAGTGCAGCAACTTCAGGCTGGCTGAGGTTTCCTATTCAAAGTTGTTATCTTGACAACTTAGTCTGAAACAGAATCTATTTTGCTGCTTGCTTTTGTGGCTCAGCTGACTGATGGCATTTTTTTTGTTCTGCACAATCCTCAGTTGATCAACTCAGTCTTTAACTTGATTCAGTGAGTATCTCTCTCAAAAAAGCTAGAATGAACATGAATCAAGAATGAACAGCCACTTAAACTGGCTTTATACCTGTAACCCATTGGGATGTTTGAGAGAGATTTACCAAACCTCCCATTTGTCCTTACAATTGCAACTTTATCTTTTGAAAGAATGAGCTCCAGGCATAGTATTTTTGTTTCTGTATAACATGCCTAGCCTTAATTCTTTTTCCTTAACTGTATTTCTCTTCCACTTTATAGAAGTGGAAGCCAAACATAAAATTCCTCAATGTCTAATAAGAATGTGTGACCACAGGCTTTTATGGACATTGAAGTTAAAATTGTCCATCACAGTTTTAAAGGTTTCTCCTGGGAGGTAAATTCTAGCTATTTGAAGCCTAGTGAGTAGTAGAACAGAGGACCAGCGTATCACAAAATCCTTATTTTTACTCCCTTTGAGTCATCATTAGGCATGCTGCATTGTCCCTGTTTTCTCAGCTGTAAAAAGAGAATAGTAGTATTTGCCTCTTAGAAGTGTGATTGAGATTGAGAAATGTAAGTGACCTGTATGATACTGGTTTTAAGCAAAACTGCTTATCATGAAGAAATGCAGCACAGCTGTGCTGTTCAACTACCCAGTTACAAGGAGGGTATTTGGGGTGGTGTCTTCTCACTTGGCTTTAGATGTCTGCAGCTAAATTTGTTCCTCTGGACCCCATTTGCAGCTGAAGAGAAATAGTAATTCTTAGGGCATCTGGCCTTGAAGTAGAAGTGTAAAGCAGGTCAGATGAATGGCAGTTTTAGGAATGGCTATTTTTCCTTTGTGTGCCCATAAAGTGAGTTGAACTTGACTACCTCAGCTGAAGACATCCACACCATCAGTGTCTGAGTTAAGTGACTTGACTTTACCCTGCCTGTCTGGGAATCAGAGGAGACTTCCTCCTGCTGTGTTGGTGCTTCTTCTCTTCTACACATTTTGTAGAGCTTGTTTTGGCCCTTGTGTCTTTGATACTGTGTGAGAACACCTGTGGGTGGGCCTTTCTCTGTAAATGCTTTGCCAAACTGTTGTAAAGTATTCTTGAGGCTGGGGGCACCTGAGTAAAGTCTCTTGCATTATTCTCAGGACCTAGAGGACAGAGTGGCTACTGCCAGCATCGCTTGCTCATTTGCAAGATTTCAAGTGGGCTAAAAATGAAAATCTGCTGTTCTCCAGGGCTTTGGTTAAGCCTCCTAAGTGTCAGTCTTAAGTGCTTTCTTTGTATTGCTCATGTTCTGTGTTACTTTTAATTGTGTTCTTGTATTTCACATCTGTTTTCCACACCCATTTCACCCTGTAACACACACTCTGCAGCAAGCCAGGTCCAAGTGCTTCAAGTATATTTAAATACAGTGGAAATTCACCCTCCATTGATTCAGCTGTGTCATTGCAGAGTCAGAGAGAGGTGTTATTGATTTATTTAGGATGCATGTTTATGCAGAGATGAGAAATGCATCAGCATTGCTTGTACATTTAAAAATGATGACAGAGTAAAATCTGTACCTCCCGTTCCCCCATTATGCCAGTGTTGCTTCTGACATTTGTGTGCTTGATGTTTCCTTTCCTGCATGTGAAAGCTTTACCGTCTGGGTGAGCCTTCCCCTCTGAACATTTACCATCCTTAGATTTACAGTGGTGTTCATCACGCATGAAATAGTGACATTTCAAATCTAGCTCACAGAGTCAGGTACAGACAATATGCTTTTTGACGAATCAAATAAGATTTTGCTAGGTGTTAATACAGCCTTGGGCAACTAGTGAGGAGTTTATTGACCATGCAATCCCCAGATTTCAAGCCACAGATTGTGCAATGGGTTGGAATGAAGCTCAGCTCTTGCAGTTGTAATTTTTTGCTAGTCGCTGGTAAAGTGTTCTGCCAACCCACTTGCTTCAGCAGTCTGCAATTTTGTTGGTTCTTTCATCTTTCTCCCTTCGCTTTCCAAAGGTGGGTGGATGGCAAATTGGAATATTGAGTATTGACCATGTCCATATCCAGTAGCACTGATGTCTGTAGTGATTTACTTTGCCGTGATTGAAACTGGTGGGAACTTTGATATCAATTTGGAGAGCAAGATCTGTGAATTACTTGGCTTTTGAAGTGTTTTGCATGGGAATCATACAGGATTGTAGTTAAGAGCACGCTGTGTATCATATTCCTTTTTCCCTCTAGCAATACCTTTTTATTCCTTTTGAAGAGTTTTGCCTGGTATCCAACAAAGTTCACTATACAAACGACAGGGTAACAACTTTAGTATACAGCTCTGTGTCAGACTGTGCTACCTAGTGATTTAATTCCAAGACCATCCATATTAATTTGAATATGCATAATGCTGTGCAGAAAAAGACATGATTCCTGCATAGAAATTTACAATTTAAAAAGAAAACAGGAAAATAAAATTAGGTAGGGTAGGTGATGTTAATCTGATTATGGGCTCAATTCTGAGACTAAAACACATGTTATGTGTGAAGGATGTTTTACTTAAAATGTTTTTGTACATGCATGTGAATGAAATATGTAACTTTGATTGTGTTTATATGGAACAAAATTGCTGGGAAATACTTCAGGGTTGGTTTTTTCCTTGCTCTCCTGGAGAGAGTTTCTTTGTAACTTCTAAGAAAATAAAATTTTAAAATTATTCAGAAATAAAAATCCTAAAGGTGTTGTATGGATTTTTTGTTTGTTTTTTTAAGAATGGTGCTGTGAATGCAAATCCTGGTCTTGGGGTTCTGTCTACCCTTACATGGGATCTGCAGTAGACCTTTTGCAGGCCTGAATAAGTTACTGAGATGATATCGGTGTTAATGTCACAACTAGGGAGAGAAGAGATGTTATTCTAGGATGTGGCCAGAGAAAATGGAAGTCCAGTCCTTCATGGGTGCCAGTGCTAGTGAGTCCCAGAAGTGATGTTTATACTGCAGTGCTAGTATTGGTATTCATCTAGGATACACAGGTTGCTATTTCTGATATGACTGCTTATATATATTTCTACTACTTATATTACTAGGCTACCTAGGAGCCCTGCTCCAGGCCTTGTGCTTTGCTCTTTTATGTGCTGGTCTACTTGTTCGACATACTGCTTTTTTCTCAGGGTCTGCTTTAGAATGCAGTGAATGAGAGACAGCGTATTCTCCCCTCTGCTCTGCCTGTCATAGTAAAGCTGAGGGAGGATATTTGATGCTTGATAGCCCTACTAAGCAATTGCAAACAGCACACCATGAATTAGGATACAGGCCTGTGTTGCGTGCCAGGAGAGAGGGAATAATAATCGCAGTGCTTCCCATCACCACTATACCTGAGGGCGGTCCGTCCTCTGACGCATATACTACTGAAAATATCCCCACTCTGCGGGTGAGTCTGTGGTTGTGCTTTCCACTTCACTGGCAGGGCCTGGAGGAAGAGGACAGCAATCACCCCTTCGGATTACACCGCACCAGGTTAAAGCACGAGCCTACTTGCATTATTAGAGTTTTGGTTCCCTCTGCTCCAGCAACTTGAGGGGCCTGTGCTGCAGCTGTCAGGAGCCTCGGTGACTGAGACGATCTCAGTGGGGGTCCCCGCTTCCCTGCGCTGGCCCGTGGACTCTCCTCTGCCCCTGACTTTTGCCCCCTGCCCTGCTGCGGGTGTGGCGGGGGGCTGGTGGTCCTCAGGGTGGCTGTGGCCGCGTGGTGGTGCTGGCCCCACGCCGCTGCCAGGGGGCTGCTGCAGCCCAGGGACCGCTACTTGCACCTGCAACAACAACCTTTCCCCCTTCAAAAAAAACCCCAAGCTCCAAACCATGTCATTTTTGCTGTGTCTTTTACATTCGAGATTAGAATCGCCTCTTTGTTGCTATGGAAACGCTTGTATGAAAGAAGATGACCTCATTATGAGTTATGATGAAATCTCCTTTAGGGTGGGCTCAGCACCCTTGCAGCAGGGAGAGTTGGGGGAATCTGTGGCCAGGGTGTGGTAGGGTGGTTGCCCCTTTTGCACTGATGCTCAGCTGTTTGCAGAGCTCGTGGGTCTTTCCCTCTGGGCTCAGCAGGCCAGAAACAGCCCCTGCCCCTGGACCAGCCCTTCCCCTAGGGAACTGCCTCTGGAGTCGTGGCTGCATCACTTCTGCACCTGGGCTGCATGTGCCCTTGTTCCAGGGTGTGTGTGAGGTGTCATTGCAATACGCAGCGGGGCCCTGACAGCAAGCTGGATGAAAGGCTTGCATGTCATGAGGGGTCGTCTTCTCGTCTGGTGTCTGTCAGGGTCCTGGCATCCACTCTGGTTGCTTTTCCCTCAGATCTGGGCTGCCACCTCTGAGTCTGAACTGTCTCTATAGCTTTGTGACCCATCCAAGCATCCTGCTGCCTCTGCTCACCCTGTGCCACCCCTGGCTCTTCACCCAGGTTTGCCCCCATCCCCTCCCTTGATCTGCATCGCTCATTCTCTCAAGCTCTGCTGGTGTTTCTGTGCTGTCGCTGCCCAATTTCTTGCAGCACACTGTTGCTGCTCGTCTTGAATTGGAAAGCAGATTTAGGAAGCAATTTTTTTCTCCCAAGTGAAAAAAGAAATCTGATAAGATTATTTATCTTCATTTTAGCCAAAGTTTTATCTTTCTTTGGTGGAAGAAAAGAAGTTGGAACTTGGATATGCTTTGAAGAAAGGTTGCTCTCTAAAAAGGCCAACTTTGGTTGTGATGAGACCTTGGGAAGGTGACCCTCTGTCCTTTTGTTAAGAGCATTATACAGTCCCCTAGTCTAGCCTGCCCCCTTGCCCATGGAGTTCATCTGACTGGGAGGCAAGGGAGAGGTAAAATACTGGATTGTGGGGAAACTCTGTATTTTCAAATCAGATAATCTGCTGAGATAATCTGGGCTACTATTAATGTAGAGTGAGTGCTAATGACTGTGTTCCTCTGAGAAGCTGTGGAGGTTGGTGAGAAATGAACCTCTTGTCTCTGGTGTAAATGCTGATGTCTCTTTTCAGCTGCTCCATCTTGTTGCTGATGGAGAAACGGGTGGCCCAGCATGGCAGGTGTGCTGGATTCCATTTCTGGCATAAAGCTCTTCCATCCCTGATGCCTTCAGGCTGAAGGAGGGAGAGGCAGGACTTGCACAGTAGAAGATCAGGCTGGGGGTCGCTGCAGCAGCCTGGGCTGGGGATGGAGCATGCTCTGGGGTCTGTGTTGCCCGACTTCACCAGAGCTGGTGTTTGTTAAAAGGTAACCCCGGGAAAGATTTTGTGAATTACAGAAGCTTACCCTTTCTGGGTATCAATTTCAGAGTATTTTGAGAAAGGCTGAAAAAAGTGTTTGCCAAAACAAACAAGAAAAGCAGGCCTTTTTCCACCCCCATCCACCCACCCCTATCGCCCCTTCATTACATTTTCCAAGCACGGAGCAGCCACAGTGTTGGTTTTGGTGTTCCTGATTTTGCTGGAGGAAATTTAGTGTGCTTGGTAAACGTGACATATCTGCTGCTGCTGCTGCAGCTCCTTTGAAGACAGTGTTGCTGAATGTTTAGCAAAACCATTCTTTTTCATCTGCAGTGCCCAGTAGTGAATGAATTTAAATGAATGTAACCAGACCAGTTTAAGTCTCCATCTTTCCCCATTGTCATTCTCTTGACTCCTGTAATACCATAATTTTGCTATTCGAGTCGATACAAACTCTTCTATTGTACGGCAGTCCTGTATTTCTCTAGTAAAGAAAAGAAGCAAGGAAGCCAATTGCTGGTAACTCTTAATGCCTAAAGAGAATGACATGAAACAATTCTAATCTAAAAAGCTTTAGTATCTAAAATCCTCCTAAGACTTCTTCATACCCTCTAAAGAAACAAAGGCACACCTCCACTTCCCAGCTTCTTTGATAGTCGTATTGAAAGCAAAGTAGTTGCATTTATATTGTGGTATCTGAATTAAATTTGTCTGATAATGGCTGAGATGTCACAGCCCCATTAACTACAGATGTTCTGTAATACAATGTATTTTTAAAGAGGCAGGTAGGTTAAAATATAATTGTCTTCTGAATGGATTTTTCTATGGGAAAGAGCGAGCAAACCACTTACATCTCAGTATAACCAAATCTGCCACAACAACTTCAAAGACACCAAAGAAATAAAATCAATAAAAAGACACTCTCCTTCATGTACTTAGATCCTCTAGCCCAAAGCTCAGAGACCTTCCTGCACCATTTCCAGTCTTTAAAAAAATGAGCTTTGCGCAATAGATCAGGGGGAGCTCTACAGCTCTCAGCAGTGATTTCTGTTCCTTTTCTCTCTGTGTCTTGCAATTCTGTTTGCATGCTCAGTTTTGATAAACTGTGTTCTTCTTAGGTTGGGCTCAAAATGTACTTCCATAATGAATGTATATACTTCTTACAGAGCATCTAATAAAACACCTATCTTATAGGGCATCTAATTAGACAGAATCACCCCTTGAAAAGGTACTAATTAATGGTTCGGTCCTACCGAGTACTTCTGAAGCAAGTGGGAATTAAAGATGCCTAGTCTTGTAATTGCGGGACAGAAAGGAGATTGCTTGCTGGCCTGGCACAGACCCTTATGCATAGATTCTGTTTACTCTGTTTCATAAATTCTTCATGAGTCTTGCACCTTCCAGAGTCTTAAGTAGTTTCAGAGCTTACAGATGCAGATGCTGATGCTGTTTGTGGGAGTTTCTAGGGTGCTTTAATGAGGCACAGAGGTAATTTTGCAGAGTCATGCTGCAAGTAGATGCACACCCGTAAGCGCCAGCGTGGGACTGTGAGAGAAATGAAGTTTCTTTTTGGAAATGCAGATGGAAGAGACAGTGACAGTCTGCCCAGAAAATCTGTGAGCAGCCTCACCCAGGGGGAAAGTGTGAGCTCTTGGAGTGTCTGCTGAAAATTTGTACTGGGGTGAAGGATCTAAAAGTGAAAGAAAAGGCAGAGAGAAGACAAAGATGAGAAAAATTCGTCTAGGAACTGTGAAAGTTAAAAAGGAGTCTTGATTCCTCCCTCTCCCCCTGCCCTGAATCCTGCTGCACCCATGAGATTTCAGTAATTCAAAGTGATTTAGGAAAGGCTGAAGAGATGGAGAAGGCTATCTATGTAGATATGTAGTTGGGAAATACTGATGTAGTTAGCATTTGTATATGCTTTTATTCATGCAAAGAGGTACAGAACAGGTATATAGGTGGCTATGCAGTTACCATCACATAATTTACAGTTCCCAAAGGATTATGAGTGGTTCCATGCTACTTCTGTCATCATTTTGGCTTTGTTGGATGTGTTACTAGAAGAGTTTTGAGTGCTTGAGATAACCATGTAATGCTCCTAGTCTTTCACGTAGCAATTCAGATAAGCCCATCTGTAACTTTAAGTATATGAACAACAGGGTGTGGATGTGCTTTGAATTATGCATATACCTCAGTGCTTTGCTGGGTAAGAGCAGTACAAGAGAGTAATGAGCAATTTTAAAAAAAAAAAAAAAAAAAAAAAAAGCTCATCAGGCTAAATTTAGGTCAGGATCTGCAGTTCATGTCTCTGGACACTTGATGCCTCTAGCTAACTGGCATGACTGGGCTGCTCCAGGAATGTTTTTTTTAATTCCACTGATCTGACAGCACCTGTCATTTTCTTATACACAAGTGTCCATATCACTAAATCACCTCTCCATCGTTAGTGCTAATTGGCTCCCTTGCTGTAAC